ATGTGTTGGTTTCTTTTGTGTTGATCGCAACTGATAATCTTTGAACAATTGGTTGAAAGTTGATTCGGCTTGGATGTACGTTGATGATGTCTTGCCAAAAAACTTTTCGAAGAATTTGAGTCGAAATGCCGGGTGGAGGATTGTTGCCACAACTTGTGTTTCACACTGGAGGGCTTCATCCAGGTATGATTGCAGTTTTGATATCATAGCTGCAATCATTGGATACAGGGCCTCAATCGTAGCTAATTTCTTTTCTCTTTCTTGTAATCATTGTTGCAGTTCTATATACTTAGGAATTACCATGGCCCCGGTGGCCATGTTCCCTTCCATCTGTTTCGTGATGGTCAAAAAGGGCTGAAGAGGATACATGATGTACAGTCAATTAACCTCTTGAAAATACAATTTGAACAGCTCAAACTGACCTCTATCTCCGAGTTAAGTTCTTCTATTGATGCCCATTCTGAAGGGCTAATTGAGATCTCATGGAAATACCCGTGAGGTTTTCCGTTTTTGCGTGGTCGCCGAGACTTAGAATGAACTCGGGCCAAGTCCTCCTTCAAGATCTGGTCAATGACCTTGAAATGACCAAACAATGATTAGCAATGAATGAAATATGCATCATGATCAATAGACAAAGGAAAGAAACATAGATCGATGACTCACCTCACGTGCAAGCCAAGCTTTATGTCGGCTGATATATTTTATATTCCATCTTATACCATACCCAGCTATCAGGGATCCCAACGATAAGCCACGTGCTTTCATGATTCTATTGTACTCATTTCTCCAAGAGGATGACCGAGTTATCCTGCGTATGATAAAGTCGAGCTGTAGGAGGAAAATGTAATGAACATTAGTACCTTGAAATGAAGAATTTAAACAAGTAATATTTTGGACAAGGTACTTAGCTTCTCTAAGATGAAGTGAAGCTTGTTAGCTTCTCTGCAATGAGTAGGTGCAACTGAGTCATCAAGAACTCGCATGGGATTGGTTTCATTGTCTTGATCCGCCGTGTCCCAGTCGGCCTCGTCATCCACTGGCGCTTCAGCTAAAGCGCATCCCAATCTATCCATTTCGGTCGTATCTTCATCCACATCTTGAAGGTCGTGTTCAAAGTCGGAGGGTGCTTCGTCTTCGTTTGGAGCAATTGAGACATCAGGAACTTCTAATACCGGGCCATCACCATCAAGAGGATCCGTTGGCTCGTCTTCTTCAACTAGAGTGGCGCACACCGTTGGAAAACAACCACGAACTGCAGTCTTGACCTTGCGAGGAGGAGGAGTCTTGAGGCCTAGGGCACCTAGTCCCGCTCCCACCACAAGCGCAAGCTTGTGGCAGAAGCAGAAGGCGTGCATGGTGTCAGCATCCCACCGGTAGTCAGAATCAACCCCATAACGGTCCAAGAACTGCTGGTGCATTTCTTGGGCCATTGTCTTATTATTTGAACCGGAGTCCGTGGTCTGGCTAAGCAAGTGAGGACAGAGTAATAAAATGATATTAGCATAAATCGATCTCATGGTTCTTTAAGAGAATGTTGTGTGCTCATCTTTGGAGCCAGGTCATTTTTGATTAACACATTGGCCAAAGGCTCGGCCAACCATGCCCCTCGATGCTCCCATGCCACCACTTTGAGAGTCAGGTGTCGTGAAACATATTTCCAAGTCGGATCGATGTAATTAACCGTTGCGCCAATGAATCCATGTCGATTTCCTTTTGAAGTCCATACATCATGTTGCATGCAGAATTTAGAGTCCAGGCCCTGCAACAGAGAAAACAAAGTGAAACATTAGTCAAAGTCAAAAGAAGGAAAGGAAAAGGAGAAAATAAGATAAGTAAAAGGGCAAATAGAAAATACAGGCTCACCTTTAGCTTGTTCACAACTTCTTTTTTCATGGATAAGTTCAGATGTTTAGCCTCTTGCGCGGCCCATTGCCTGCCGTACAGTTTGGCTTCAGGTCGCAAGTATTGGACGCATGCTCGAAGCCAAGGGTCCGCCAGTCTTTGCCAAGGCAAGGATTGCCGGAGAAGCCACGTACACATCCCTTGGTTGAACGTGAGGTTGTCAAATTTTGACGACTTGATTGTAGTCACAAAAGTGTCAATAGGTCCATTTGACTTCTTCTTTTCAGCTTCTTCTCGAGCTCGAACTTCAGCAACGGATGGAGGAACAGAGTGACCCGCCTCACGGGCTTGTCTTCGACCAGGGCAGCCTGTCGACGCTTGACCAGTCTGAGTTGAGCTGTCTCGATGAGCCTTTAGTTTTCCTGTAGGGTTTGTAAAACTGATGCGAACTGGGTTCTTCTCGTCCCGGCTGCAGAATAAGCACGGATAGGCTAAGGGTCGTTTGGTTACATCCTAAGTAACAGTTCTCAGTCTAAGAGTTCTATAATGAGTAATCAGGAAAAGGTACATACATCACTTTGCTTGCTGTGAAAAGGAGATCCAAAATAGGCTAGCAGAGCATCGGTCTTTTCGTATTCCTCAAGGTTGATGTGTTTTTGTTTGCGAACTTTGGTGTTTTCTGTGTCTGAATCTGCTCGGGGAAGATCCTTCGTAACCTGAGCCGAATAAAACTTCAAGTGGGAAGGGTCAGATTGCGATTGAGTTAGATCAAATAATATTGTAAGTATGCTTACTTGGTTTTCCGTGTTGATTGTGGCGGTCTTTCTTTTCTTGCGTGATTTCTTCGCTGGTGGGTAAACCACTTGAGGTGAATCACTTTCATCTTGCGAGGACTCAATTAATGTAGGGTTTGTATCCTTGGTAGTTGATTTAGAAGTTTGAGGTGTCGATTTAGAAGTTTGAGATGGATGGTTGACTCTGCGACGATTATCTGAACTGGTGGGTATCATTCCAGGTGTGGTAACCTTGGTTCGTTGTCTTTGAGGTCGAGTAGGAGTCGCTGGAACAGTGTTCGAAGACGTGATGCTTGACTGGACTTGATGGGGTTGACTGGAGTCTGGAACAACGGATAAACGAAGATACATATATTGGAACATCTGTATAAAGATGCCAACAAATGGCCGACAAGATGGGTTAATCATTATATTAGTGATTGAGATTAATTATGATAGAGAAAATAGGGAAACGAGATGAAATGAAGGAATTGGAAACAATTGGATGGAATTGAGTCGTCCGTTGTGTGAATGGAAGGAACAGCCAAAGGACTGAAGAGGTCACTCAAACTCACTGTCAAATGATTTAGGTATGTCCAACCCCTTGCGTAACAATCAATCTAGATTGGGAGGTGATAGGTGGTGATTGCTTTGCAAAGGAGTCGTACATTGGCTGCTTTGGGAAAGAACTGCCCCTGCCCTGGCCTGTGCGCAACACAGTTACCGTAACGGGTTACGTGGCTGTTGCGTAACTCGAAAAAAATATATCTGTTATCCGTAAGTGCTAACGTAGCTCATAAATAAAAACCCCGGCATGGGTTTCCGTCAACGTAGCTCCAAAGAGGCCCGTTAAGCTAACGGATATCGTAACACATAAAGTTATGTTACCTCTACATTGGCGCTACAAGCAGCGCTGCTGGCTCAGCGTTGACCCTATGGATAGTCATTGCTTGCAACTTATTGTTCTTTGAGATATTTCTACATAACTTCTCTCGGATATGTAATGCTTCATTTCATGTCTGTCAATTACCAATCATGATGTCATCATTTCATATTTCTCTCATTACATATCTATGTGTGCTTAGCAACCTGTCAACTGTGTGATAGCTAGTACTTGTCATTTCACTATATAAACTGCCTGGTACAGCAAAGGAAAGGTGTTCTCTTTTCCTCACCTTTCCTCTTAATCATTACACACTGTTCCAGCTGTTCCATAGTCTCTTAAACTCAACAGCTTGATGGTTTAGTGAGTTCCTAATGCAAATGAATGAATCAAAATGTCATCTTCTCATTTTCAGTAGCTAGAAAGAGACAAGTAAGCCTGTGTATAGCTTTTGACCTCAATTTGTTACAATAATCAGTCATTGATTCAAGATGGGGAACCTTTACAAATGTGAGGAAACATTTAAAGAAAATGATATTTCTGTGTTGAGAGTCCATACAAGTATCTTGGAGGTCATAAGATAAAGGGGGACTCATGATAATTCATTGGCTAGAATTGATCATGCCAAGGTAAATCTGTTCACATCCTTGTCAATATTCATTGCTTGTTATCAGTTTATCAACACACTGTAATTGTGATTTGGTCAAAAGTTGGTTCAGAGAGTATAGATGGATTAAATGGTAAATACATACCTATTCAACTCATTCTTTTCAGGTTTTGCCCTTGCTTGGCCAGATGCACCCACATTTAAGTCCATTTTAGCTTGTTCATAAAAATTATTTTTAAGACTTGTGTAATCTCTCCAGAGTTCTGAGTCAAGCAGTATCATATCTGATTTTTCAAGTGCAGATATCTTGCAATGCAAGTTGAAATGGATTCTAGAAGTTTGTTGAAACATTCAATGAGGCACTTGACAAGGTGCTATCATGATATGTCAAAACCTAAATTTGGAACCCATGAACATAACATTCTTATCTTCATTGACTTATACAACAAGAGTCATCTGCAAAATTATTAAACTGGCCACCACCTACGTGCAATCAGCATACTTATACACATGTATCTTTCCCACTGATGCCACAACATAAAAATCAGTAAAGGGCAAGTAAAGCTGACGCAACATAAAAGAAGACATACTTTTATCCGCACTGACAATACACAGGAAGGGGATGTCTATGACCGCAACAGCTGTAACAGCATCTAAATATTTTTGCAAAACACTTTGCTGTTATACAGCCACAACTTTGACCTATGTGGCATAGGCACTGGATCGTTGCGCGCCAAATCCGGTCGTCTAGTACTTGAGCCCCCAGCTTTAAGTTTTGCAGTGTATTCTAGATAGAGAGTCGGACTTGCAGACTGATCCGCTCTAAATCAGACATTGAACGGCAAGGACCAGGAAGTTTTGTCAGTGTTGTAAACTACTTAAGAAGAGGATCATCCTACCTATAATGTGGTCGATCAGCTTCAAGATGAAGTCCAGAAACAGTACTGGATCTTTCAGCAGCTGAGAGGTCCCAAAACCATACCATCCTATCTTCACCTGCCGTAAGACTATATCCTGTGGGTTTAGATGGACCTCTTTTCATATTCATTTTCTCAGGCATCGGTACCAATTCTCCAGAACTCAAGGTGCTATTGTAGCTCTGTGATCCTACCACAAATGAATAGATAGTAGATAGATGAGCAGGGTATTTGGGTGCCTCCGGATCAATAAAGAAATGTGAATAAGTCAAGAACCATGCAGTCTCTGAATTGACTCATTGAGTAGGTGATGCTTGATTTATTGAGATATTGAAGTAGATGTTGATGAGTCAATTGGGGGGATATGATAACAGTCTGGGTGAAAGAGTGTTGCACATACCATATCTAACACCCAGCACTGCATACAGGACTTCACCGTAGCCCAACATGGTTTATTAGTTATGGTAGATAAAATAACAAGAACTATGTAACTCATTGACCAAAATCCATGCAAGTCTTGATTACACATTCAAAGTACTCACTCCCTGTGGTGACACAAAGGTCTTGTGACATGAACCTCACATCAAAAATTCCTGCTTCACATGCTCTGCTGGAGTTGTAGTTGATCAATCAATGACCAGACACAAAACATTTGAGTTTGAGTGTGATTACATCCAAAATATGGCACCTTGATTGATCAAGCCTTAGAATGAACCCTGACATAGATACAGTAGAAATTGGGTCTGTCAGAAAGTGGGGTTTAAGAAAATCTACATTTCTTGTGAGGTGTGTTACAGGTAAGGTGCACAAGACTGACCTCAGGATTATTGTTTTTGAATGTCAAGCACTGTCCTACCATATAACTAGAGAACACAGATCCCTACATACGGTGACATATGGACCTGTATCCTATGGCTGTTACTGGCAAAAGCCTTTAAGTGTCTGACAATTCTACCAAATCTAGGGGAAGCCATAAATCCCATCTGTTTTCAAATCTGATCAGTGGGATCAAACACCCAGTCCAATGGCGTGCTCCAAATGAAATTTCAAAAAGCTTGCTCCAGAATAAAAAAAATCATTGTTGACAAACTGAAAATTCATGTGCAACTTTTTTGGTTTTTCAATGATGATTTTATTAGTTATGCAGCAAACTGTTTTTAATCTCATTTGGAGCACACCTCACCCAACCATGATGATGAGTGTTTTCTTTTCCCCTTCTCCTCGTTTCCTGTCTTCATCTTCTTATCCTCTTTCTTCTCTGTCTCCTTCCCTTCCTTACTCCTCTTGTCCTTCTTCCCTTCCAACCTATCCAGTGCCAGCTGATACAATTCAACTCCTTCCTCAAACTCCTTGCATTGTCTGCCTTCCCAGAGGGCACCAAATCTACCAGACAATCTATCAATACCCTTGTACATCCCGATTTGACAATGTGAAGGATTCCTAAGAAAATTCTCACTCCCTTTGGTCTTCTTCAATCAATGAACCAACCAACTTTATTCTATCCATCAACCTTGATTCCTCTCCCAATCCATCCTCTGAAGACTCCTCTGAAGAAGTCATCCTCTTGGGCTTCTGTTCATACAGAAACCACTCTTCTTCACTTGACCATGTCCAAGTTGACAGGGTCTTCTACCATGCCTGTTCCCAAATCAGCCTCCTCCATTCCACCTCAATCACCTTTGGTCATCTGTCCTTTTACAGTGCCGTTGAGTACTTCTTTGGCTCAAATGCCAGTTGATTTCACTTGGGTGGAATCTTGGACCATTTTTTGTGAACCCTCTGGAGGTGGGATTCTGGCCTCCTGTGAGCCTACTAGCGTCTGTTAGGCTAGTAGAGTCAATAAAAGAGTTGTAGAAGGTCTGATAATTTCTACCAAAGTTGTGTAGATCAATATCTACTAGTATGAATGGGTATAGACTTGGGTGTAAGAGCTTTACTTGCAATAAACAAGTAAAGACTACAGTTAGTTGACCTTCAAACAAAGGCTTTAGTCAAGGGATTTTGGGTTAATTATTGTCTTTACAATAATTAAATATAAGAGCAACTGACGCGCAGTTCTCAATCCTAAATTGATACTCTTCTTATTCAAAGAAAGGTCAAAGAAGGTGGTGTTAAAGTCTATTATGACACCGGGAACTTTACACTCTGACTAATAGAGATTTCCCCGTAGATTTAGAGTTTCTTATATCAGATGAATCCCAAATCTGATATGAGCAATACTCAAGGACTACTTCCTTACAAGTAATTCCACCAAATGGATATTACTAGAAATACTGATTATAGCGTCTAATCAGAAACAAAGTTGAATGAGCACACAGAATAAGCAACAAGACACAAGGTTTGAGGTTCAAGGTTCGTAGAATCAGGCCTTTAAAGTTTGGTAATTGAGAAGCAAAGTTTAAAGGTTCTAGGAAGATGAATAAAAGCAAAGTTGTGTAGTTGTTGAATAATAATGTGATGATTTTCCTCTTCTCAATTTGGTTGGATTTCCAGGGTTTATATAGTCTGAACCTTGGAAATCTTTGGACTACAAGTGCGCACAAATTGTGGTTCTATGGTTAGTTTAATTACAGTAAGACAGTTACTATTGGATTATAAGTATACTTCACTTGTTACATATGCGTTACGGCTGTGAAATATATGTAGCTTTGGTTTGTATCAAAGTTATGTATCTTCACACCCTTTGGTGTAAGTTCTGCACATGTTACATATGCTAAATCATATGTAACTTGACTCTTGAAACTGAGCCTTGAGTTGTGATTGCTATTTTTAAGGTTTTTATTATAATACGTCGCCCATTGGTACTCTGGTTTAGTACTCAGGGCTGACACCTCCTCCCTTTTTTTGTCTTCTATTGGATTTTCCTTACACCTTTGCCACCTCTGTTCTCTTCTTCTCTTCTGCTTGTTTAATACCTTGTAACATATGAGATGATTTATAATTGAGTTGTCCTTTTTTGTTTTATGCTGTTACCACATTCAGTAAATTATGTTATGATTCCTTTTTGAAGAGAATGAGATGAAGAAGAATTGCAAATAGTGTCCATCCATTTTTTTATATGTTTCACTGCAAAGATAATGTATTTCTCTGAGGTTAAAAATGATTATATTTAATGCACAAAACAATTAATAATGCAGACTTAATGCAGACTTAATGCACTTTTAATCATTTTTCACCTTGGAGAAATACATTACCTTTGCAGTGTTTCAAAGTAAAGCTCTGAATGAGGACTTGTAAGACACCCAGAGTGCAGAATATGGAAGGGATTAGTGTGTTGGAGTGAAGAGAGGAAAACATTGGGTATCTCCGTTCACCACTTTGTACTCAATTACCCTGTGACAGGTGTACACAAGCTGTCAATGTTGAGTCCTTCCTAGGAGGACCCCAGAAAGTGCTGAGTAATCATACCGACAAAACAATGGTTTCGGATACCATCACCTTGTGAAACCGTCTAGCACGGTATCAGACTGGTGACATGTGCAAAAGATGCGCACAGATACAGGCTATCAGATGACACACATCTGAGACTCCTAACATGTCTGGTGGCTGCGCAAATGTGCATTTTCTAACTTTTTTCCCTGAGGCTCATGTAGTATTAATACCATGTTGGGCCGGGTACCTACATGTGTATATTTTGGGTATTACACATGGTACATAATAAGAAGTATATGTAATCAATAGCCCTGGGTCAGGGGCATCTTTTGGAACTCAAGAAATTGTCTCAACTTACCTGTACTCAAGAAAAAAACCCAATCAACGTGCGGCCTGGGCCGGTATGACAAATTGTTGGTATGATCACTCAGCGCTTTGTGTGGTCCTTTCCTAGAGCTATGACCCAGCCCTGGCCCTGATCACCTGAAGCGGCCCAACGGTATTTGAATAGTAAACAGTCCACGCCCTAGGATACCTTAGCCTAATGTGATGAGAGTCCCAAAAGCCTTGAGGGTGTGATGGGTGGCCTTGCCCAGCCGGGTGCCTCCCCTTTTCCTAAAAGAAAGATCAATTGACAATGATCATCTCAACTCACTGTAGTCACATGTGAGATTTCAAATCATAATAAACCTTTGATTTTATAAACAAACTTACTTTAATAGAATACAGTCAAACCCACACAATTGAATAAATTGGGTGGAAGGCTTTTGCTATGCATTTTGACAGGTTATGCAATTCCATTGTCATATTTGGCAGTAAAAAGCATCAAGATTTAGGATTTTTTCTATGCAGTATCACGGGTTATGCAGTTGCACGGGTATGCATTTGCGCAGGTCAGACTGTATACATACATCATAGAAACTTCCTTTATAGTCACAATGCCATCTTCAAACGCACCTTCCACCCATTTATCTTTGCAATTACTCTGTGCAGCGCATTCTTCAAACACTGATCCTCCGGCCACTCCCACCACCAGTAGTATAGCCCTTTCTGATTCTATCTCCAAAGTCAACTTGGAAGCCACCGCTACAGCACAATAGTCGTGGGTGTGGCAGTATTTCATCCAGCAACAGATCAAAGGTACCATGAAGAATGTCTGCCAAGCAAAGCAAGGCTTTATCAATACTGTCACCGCAATTGAAGAAAATCATGATGCCCCTATTGTGGTTTGCAACAAAGCAATTGCCATTGACAAAAACAGTAGTACAAAGTTCATGATCAGACACCTCCAATGTTGCCACCATATTGAGGTACCTGTCGTCACCAATCAACTCAACATGGCAGCTTATTTTAATGATGGCAGAATTGCAGAAGTAGGCAGCGTCATTTTTGTGTCAGCCCTGAGCCCTATGACTAGTACCAAAGGGCTGTAATAAATAAGTATAAAAGAATAAAAATAATACTTAAAACTCATGGCACAGTTTCAAGAGTTAATTACATGTGTAATTACATATAGTTACATATAAAATTTCATATGTAAACACATGTAAATCTGAAGAAGAGGTTTCACTGAGTAAGAGCGCCTTTCACAAGTGCACATCACATGATCAACACAAGAGTTACACATGGACATAATCAAATAATGATTAAACAATTAAAATTATGATTACGTACAATAAACAAGTATGTAATCAAACCACAAGTTGTGCTTGAGGGATTTTCAGTGTTTTGAGTATATAAAGAGCTCTCTGACCCTCCAGGACAATCCATCATCATCATTACTTTTAGCTAAATTATCAATAACAGCATGAAATTCCTCTTTTCTTAGGCATTGTATATTTCTCTATTTGATTCAACTCATTGTTGATTGTTGAAGGTCTTTTGAATACTTCCCTAATTTTGTCAGGAGGTGATCCTTGCACTACTGTTCAATTCATTAAGGGAAATCAATAACTTGAGAAACTCTAAATTCACGGGATCCATCTCTAGTAGGGCGTGATACAAGATTCAGTGCACCACTGAGTCTCTGTATCCTCGCGTTTGTCAAACAACCAACAAGGTTATTGTGAAGCTTGCTTCTCTATGCTTGTTCTACCACATGAGGGAGACTAATCCTTCTATCTTGGACAGCATCCTACTGGTTGTGGTTTGGGGGTGGTCTTGGGGGCAAGGGGATGTGAGGTATAGTTCAAACTATATCTTCCTTTCCCTCTCGACAAGAGAACAGCGCCTGAGAACATAGACTTCTCAACCCAGGCTGGTGGGCGGGCTCAAAAAATTAGATTCTATGAGATATCTGGGGGAGATCTTGTAGGATCTTCAAGGTGCGGTGAGGAAGGGACAGATGTGATTGAGTAGAGAGTTGAAACCTTGACTCTCTCACTCCACATCCTTGGCTTACCACCCTGTGACAGTACAGTCAGGCATGTCACATACAAGCCTTCCTGCCCGCACCAGAAGCTCTCTCCTGCTACATAGAGATGGAAAAACAGAGTACCTCCGCAAGCTCAGGGAACTCTAACAAGTTCCTCTGTGTTCAGAGTTTAAAGAACTTTTAATATCACTAGGTGATATTTCCTTTGATTAACAAACTCTAGAGCACAGTGTTGTTGGCTTGGGCACAAAACTAGACTGTAGTTTCTACTCTTATTCCTGCTAGAAGACTCCTGTCTTGCATTAATTCCCGGATTTGTATCCAAAACCCTTTGTTCAAAGGTCAATTAATTGAAGTCGGTGCTGGTTTTATCCCACTACTTCATTAATAATTGTGTTTAGAACCTTGAACAAAGTTCTCACGCGCTTAATAAACATAGTTTGTGAAGCAAACCTTATTCTCTAGTGAGTTACAAGCCCAAAAGACACTAGCACCTCACATTTTGTATCTGATGTTTACTTTTGTTTGATTATCATCTTTTTTTGTCTTTTTTTACCTTCCAAGGTTTTTCAATCAACCAAATCTCAAGGATGCTCTGATTCAACTGGTAGTCAATCAAGAGCTCCCAATTTCCTTACCGAATTTCTCAAGTTCTGAGAACTCCTCACCATGGTTAAACCTTCTACACCATCCCTTTCATTGAAACAACCCACTGTCTCCAAAAGAATTTTATGTAAGTATTGGTTGATTTGACTCTGAGGTGCTGTCATCAATGTTTTTTCATCTGTCCCACACATCAGTATCACTTGTGAAGGTTGGCCTTCATCCAGCAGCACTGCAATGCTTGGTGTCACTGCTCATTGGATTGACAATGAATTCAACATGCACAGCTTCATACTTGCCTTAAAACCAATTCATGGACCTCACACCGGAGCCAATCTTGCAGCACTTATGAAATATAATCTGGACAAGTTCAACCTTTCTAACAATACTTGTTTAATCAACACAGATAATGCCTCAAACAACACCACTATGGGTTGAAACCTTCAGACAATCATTCCCACCTTAAGTTTTGATGCCTCTGAGAGAATCCATGGCACCGCCAACATATTCACCTCGGATTACAAAATCTGAGGTATTCTCGGATGCAAAACCTAGGACAGAAGCTTCCCGAGGTTTTGATCCGAGGTAATTCTCAGGGCAAAAAAATCCCTCAGGCAAAAACCTCGGACAAGGTCTGTCCAAGGATTTGCCTCTGATGATGCCTTGGATTTCTCAACCCGAGGCATCTATGCTGGCAGTGTGGATGTGTTGCACATGTCATTAATCTTGTTGCAAAATCTGGCATGGCTGTCTTTGATTGAAAGACTGATCCTCCTATGATCAACACCCTTGATCCCCAATATCCTAATCAACCTCCTGTTCCTCTTTTCATCAAGTCAACCCCCATTATTCAATCAGGAGCATCCTAAATCCTATCTGCTTTTTCCACAAGCAAGTCAAGAACTGTGCCCAGCTCAAAGCCACCCTTGACAATACCGTACAGGGTTGCACTAAGCTCAAACGTACAGCTGCTTTGATCCACAAAGTCTCCACTTGGTGTTCTTTGACTCATGCTTGCCTTGAACAATATGTCAAACTTCAGCCGGTGATCCATTACATCTGCAAGGTATATCCCACTCTTGAGTATTTTTTATTTGATGATGATGAGTGGCTCCTTGTTGAGAAGGTTGTGCAGTTTTTGGCTCCTCTTGCTCATGTCATAAGGGAGATCAAAGGTCACAGATATCCAACCTTGTCGGCTGTGATGCCTTACTACCAATGGCTTGTGGAACAACTCAAAGCAGTGAGTCTTTTTTCTCTTTCATATCTTCTGTTATTTCATCTTTAACTTACATGTTTTGGATTGCTTGTATCATAGGCCTGGCACAACTCCAACTGCAAGGAGTTAAAAATTTGTATAATGTCAATGATGAAAAAAATCATACATTGTCAAGAAGCTTCTCAGAAGGAAGCAGTGTATATGTGTGCTGCTATACTTGATCCTTGTCTCAAAGCCAATGTGGTCAAAGCTTCAACCATGGATTCTCTTGGTGTGAAACATGAATATTTAGTCAAGTATTTCACAAAGCAAGCCAAAAGGTTCATACCCCCTTGTGATCCTGACATCAAGATTGTCAAACCTCAAGAAGAAAGTCTCAACCTTGATTGACCTCAACACTTCATTAAGTGCCACAAGCACCTGTGGCACCTGTACCTACTGACATGTAAGTCGAAAATACAGTGTACCGTACGATTGAGCAACAAGCCTAGTCCCTGCAGGCAGAGCAATCAGAAGCTCTGGAGAAGTATCTTTTGACGTCACAAGTCATATTTTACAAGATTTTTTCAACTTTTTGAGCACCAAACATTCAATGTACACCTTCTCCTTCCTTACGCTGAGTTTGAAGAATTTCAACTTCGCTCACAAAAAATCAAGTCCCCAGAGCGCTCCAAGTGCTTCAGAGCGCTCTGTGCGGTGTCATATCCAGAGTACGTAGAGCACTTTCAGATGTCTCCAGAGCGCTCTGATGCTCTCCAGAGCGCTCTGATACTCCTCGCTATGCTGAGGACCTCTTGCTCTAAGCCACACCAGTAGCTGCCTGAAAGACCATGACAGGTCAACCAATACCTCTAAGTCACCTCACATCTCATACTCACCTGCTTGATTCATCTGCTCGCATCAACTCAAGAACTTATGTCGACATCTCAAGCAAGAATTGAATCACACAAGGACCAATCTCACAGTCCAACCTCACACGAAGCAATCAATTACTGACGAGTCTCTCTTTCAAAGATTCATTCTTTCTCAACCAAAAAGCCTGTAACCTTCTTTTCAATCAACTTCCCCCTCATCACCATCATCAACTTGGCCCATATTACGATCTCCATCAAAATCATCATCTTCAAGTTCATACAATTGATCAGCATCATCATTCACGTCTAGATCGAGAAGGCCCAAGTTGAGTTCATCAACTTCAGTCTCATCGAGAGGAGCTGAATCTACAATCTCTGATTCAGTACCTGCTTTCCACCTCAACCGGCTTTCTCGCAACAAAGCCTCCCAACGAAGTTTGATCAACTCCTCATCTCCTTCAGACAGTTGACTGTAAACCTTGGTTTGATTGATCAATATCTTCATCTTCACATTCCAGTCCATACACAATCGAGCTTGCCTTAGGCTGTCCCGTGCGCAAATTGCTGTAAGGACCTTCTTGCTAATGTCCAAACGTTCTGTTGCTGTTGCTGAAGTCAAACAAACAACACCAGCTAACCATTGGTTCGCCACAGTTTCTGTATCATTGTCTTCAAAGACAAGAAATCCAGGTTTGTTCATCATTCGTTTATCAATGTAGTTTCAGAACTGACCTTCGGATTCTATTGCGGTTTCCAAGACTGAATATTTATCTTGTAGCTCCAGAGCCCATTTAACCAATTGCCTACATTCGCGACCAACCCGGCATAGCTCATCTTGAGAATGATTCAGCTCCAGATAGGCTTGGATTCCATCTCGAGTGTCTGGATCTTCTGCCCAAGCTTCACCTGGATGGGTGAGCTGACCTATGTCCCAAAAGTGGTTGGTCAGGGGCAACTTACTGATATCCTCGAACACCGGGCACTCGATTGGCTGAGGCGATGGAAACTGGACATTGAACTTCTCCACATTCCGGGAGAAGATATTGTATTTGTCTCTCAAAACTTTTTGTTTGTCTCTTAGATGTTTTTTAGACCTTTGTTGCATGCGTGTACCTGTTAATATATGTAGTCTGAGATCTGAGATGCCTATGGTTGATAGTAATGAAAATTTAAAATACCTTCTCGTTCATCATTTTTTCTTTGACTTTTGAATACGTCCACTTTTGCACCGTACAGCTTAGTTTTTGATACTTGTACCCTAATGAGCAGACGGCCCTTGGCTGCTGTAAAGGGACCAAGAGGAATAAGAAGTCAGCTAGAATATGGATTAAATGAGCTTGACCACAGTGTACTTGATGCGCCAGGCATATCTTGCTAGTGATCTCCTCCGAGTTCATCAACCAATTCGTCGATTTGTGCATTGATGATAAGCAATGTCTCAGGTAAGTGGCCTATTTTACGCTTCTCAGCCACTGTTCGAAGGCCTCTGCGCTTGGCTCGCAAAGCTTTCAATTTGTTGCTAAAGTATAGAAACCAGAATCAGAGTCAGGCATAGCCAAGACAGCTCATTGTCCAAGGTAAAGGTTTTCTCAACTCAGCCTCGCGATGTTGTTCTTCCAACTCCACCAAGCGATTGAGTTTTTGATTCAACGCCTTTGAATCTTCAATAACCAAGGCACGCAGTTGACTTTCTCTCTGCTTAGTCCACTGGTTTTTAAAATAATCCATTGTATATCTAGTGTTTTTCCTTTGCAACAGATTCAACTTCTGAATGCTCTGTACATTGAGCTTCTTACTAGATTCCACCCGCGCCATCAACCAGGTTACTGACGAAAGTAACGATTCTATGTAAGTGTATAGTCGTGACAAAGAAACATAATGGTATTACGCACTAGATCGCCTGCGTTTACCCTCGTTAGTGTGGCGTGTTCGCAAAGCTAAAGCACAAAGCCTGTGTGCTTTTGTCAAATATCTCAGTGCACCAACTAATGAAGCTAGGCTAGCCCAAACTCTCTCCAACCCTTCTCCGTCAGGCAGTCCCCAGTTGTCATTCAATCTGGGGTTATATTTCAATTGGCAAGCCCATTGATGAACATAAGAATGAAATACACTGGTGCCAAATTTCAACTTTCCAGCCGTTCGCTCTTGCAAGAAAAACTCTCGCTGAATATTTCAAAACGGTTAGGCAGGCATATTTCCTGAAAAATAAATGAACACTGACCTTGATTATACTTTTCTCCATATTACAACCTATATCGTATAGGATGCCAAATATAGGCACATCCCCCACACTACTTATAGTAGTTTGTAAAATCCAGTTAAGCATTGCAAGTGGGTAATAGCCGCTACAGTAATTGAAACCATCAGAACACCTCATAAATATACAGATAAAAGAGTATCAATTAGTCATACCGTTCTCCTGACTGTACTATGTTGATGAACTTGAGTAATATGTCATGGCGACAAGCCATTCCCATTAATCCCGTCTCATCGCAACCACGCCAAGTCTGGCCGCCTCGAGCATCATTTGCGGCTGTATGCTGAGCGCTGCAAGGGTCCTATGGAGAGGCGAAAGGATCAATCACCAAGTCGAGTCTTGAGTATTCTTGTAGATCTCTCACCACCACATCATCTACAGGTTTGCCAGTGTTGGTTCGCGGGTTTGTACCTTCCATCTTCCTTTTCCAAGTTAAAACTTGGACTGGCAAGAGAAAAAGAGATGGTACTATCCCTGTATCACCTCGCCACGCCGCACTTGCCGCAAGATGGCGACATTGTTGAAAGTTCGCATCGAGGCATATGATGTGATACGGTTCATGTTTGGTAGTTTCCCAGGAACCTTAGGACCGAAACAACTAGGACACTTCCCAGCTAGATCATCCATAGGTGTCAAACGGAGAGCTGATGACAACATTACTTCCTCCATACGTAGCATTTCTCGATATGCATCAACTGCTGAAGAAAAGCATTGGCGCAAGTCTCGGGTCTGTAAGAATAATGCTCTAAACGTCAGATAGAGATGGATATGTAGATAATCAAAATGAGCTCACTTGTTCTGTACCGGGTACTTGAAATAGAGGATTTCAAGGATCTAAGTATTCATCCATTGTATCGGTGAATGCGCTCAGCCGAACACTTGAATACTTCCACAATGTATGGTGGAAGCGAAGCAAGCGAATCGAGAACGCGGTCCTTGGAACCACGGGCTTGGAACCCATGTAGCCAAGACGTATCAGTCGCACCAAGTCTGAGGTGCAATCACACACCTCCACGGAAAGCTTCTTTCGACCTGCACATGCAAGTACATCAAAGCATCAAACTATGTATGTATTCACTTGAAGTATGAAGGAAAATTTGGCTCTTACTTGTGAAATCTACTGCATTTACCACAACTGTTTGTTTTTGCCAATTTTTGCATTTATAGGTGGAGTTAAAGTCTTGATTCCACAAAACTGGATCACACCATTGATACGTTTGACGGCTACAGGGCATGAAAGCTAGAAATACTTTAGGTAAGACGGCTTGCCAGTGAGCCTCTTCTCTAAGGGTTCGTTCCTGGTATGTCGGATCTCGATAGTAGTCCCTTCGATTGGCAACAACCCGTTGTCCTTCGCCATCACTAGAATCAGCTGGATCATTTCCTTGATCCATTGCGAGGTCGTCATATATAGGTCCATTGTGAGTTTCAGGGGGTTCGGGGGGTTCGGGGGCCGGAGGTTGGTTTATTGCCGCAAGAGCTTGTTGTGCTGCTTCGACCTCCCGTTTCTGTTGGGCTGCAAAATGCTGCGCTGCCACCCCCTGAATCGTTGGGGGTTCCTTCTTTGCTCGCTTTTTTGGCATCGGGATGATTTCACCAGGTAAGACCATTGTGGATGAATCTATGTAGAGTGGAAAATTGAACAAATTGATTGAAAATCTCAGTCGCGAATATTATAACAAGTTATTCTCAGATAGTCAAATAAGATAGAGTTGAACTATTGGATGGGCTAGCCAAAGTTACTATGTAACAACCCTTGGCAAGCACAAACGACTCAGTCTCAAAACGGACAGATAACCCCAAAAAAGCAGGGTCTGTGCACGCAAACGCTTGCTGACACGCTTGATGTGTTTTGATTCCACTTAAGATGAAGTCCTTTCCCCTTTCCCTGTTTGCCGTTGTTAGATACATATTCTCACTCACTCGGATCAAAAAAGGGCTAGCTAACTGCTATCAGCTAATTATTTTTGGTGAGAACTGAAATTCGATTAACAAAAACTCAGACGTATACAATCTATGAGAAATTAACTTGTTGTTGTGGTGTTGTACACAAGTTAGAGCATAGAAACATAAGGGTACATCCAAGTATCATTATATTTAAAGATGAGCTCACAATAGGACCAGAAGACTTGCTTTGCCACATGTCTAAATGGTTAGAAAGAGAATTTTGAGAACTAAGCAAACATGAATTTTTCTATCTCAAATCTGTGTTTCCAGAGTGAAGATGAGGAGTATGCAAAAAAACTCAATAATGAAACTTGTTCAAAATTCCATGAAGCACAATATACCTCGCGAGTGTTGCCAAATTCCCTCAAATCTAAACACTTTGGGTGGTTTTTGTGCGTGTTTGTGAGATACAGACATGGTTTTTCAGATTGAAATTGTGTTTTGAAGATGAAGACAAGGAGCTACCAGAGAAAGTCAATAATGATCTTGTTGAGCATAGAAAGGAGCATAATATACCCCGCGATGGGCGCCAAATTGCCTCATCGTCAATCACTTTGAGTGGCTTTTGTGCAGGTTTGTGAGAGATATGCACATTTTTCAATCTCGAATCTGTGTTTCCAGAGTGAAGATGAGGAGTTAGCAAAAAATTCAATAATGAATCTTGTTCAGCATTAGGAGGAGCATAATTTACCTTGCTAGTGTTGCCAAATTGCCTCATCTTCAACCTCCCTGAAGGAATTGTTTGCTTATTTCTGGTGCAAATTCACAAAAGCACGAGTTTTTCAACATTTGACACTCTCATGAGATTTGAATCAAATATAAGCACCAAAGCTACTCAAAGTGTTTGAAGATGGAGCAAATTGGCAACACTCGCGAGGTAAAATCAGTTGAGCCGACAATTGCTTATCTTCACACTTTGACGTTTCTTTTTCAATGAAAGTGATGAGGTTTGACGTTATTGTACACGGTCAGTATCACCTGTGGCTACCCGCCCCTTCGGATACTGGCCGATAGGAAACGGGTCATTCCTATCGGCGACAAGCCGAAGCCTCCCCTTCCGACACGCCGACGCCGCCGACGCGTCGGCTTCACAACGACAACAACACAAGTTCACACCTAAATTTGAACATCGCCAACATTCACTACCACTCAAACATAGTATTAGCATACTATCAACACATAGAACAGCTGCACACAACACTATCCAACGCTCCAACATGTTGTTACATATGAAGCTGTCACACTTGTGTGATTTCCAGTCACACGGTGTGATTTAAGATCACACTTGTGTGAATTTGGGTTGAACTTGTGAATTCACGGTTTTTGGCGGCACGTGGACAACCCTTTGTCACACATGTGTAATTCGTGGTCACACATGTGTGATCTTGAGTCACACCAGTGTGACCAATTTGGGTTGAACTTGTGAAATTACGGGTTTTGGTTGCACTTGGACAACCCCTTTTCACACATGTGTGACCATAAATCACATCCTGGTCACACATGTGTGATCCATGATCACACATGCGTAGCTAACAATCACACATGTGTGATTTTCCCTCGGGCTATAGACTGTAAATCACATCCCGGTCACACATGTGTGATTTTCCCTCGGGCTATAGACTGTAAATCACATACACACATGTGTGATTTTCCCTCGGGCTATAGACTGTAAATCACATCCCGGTCACACATGCGTAGCTAACAATCACACATGTGTGATTTTCCCTTGGGCTATAGACTGTAAATCACATACATATACGTGTAATTTCAGTTAACACTTCCGTCAATCAGAGTCACACGTGTGTGAATTCTAGTGACACATGCGTGACCTTTCAGTGTTTGTAACAAACTTTTGTGCATTCACCTCATGGCACGTCACAAGACTTTTAAATTTCAAAATGTTTAGCTATTTATATTATCATCATCCACAATACCCTCCCATTCATCATCCTCTTCATCATCATGTATGAAGAGCTGATCTACCATCTCCTCCCCAACATCATCTTCATCTTCCCCGTGAAGCATATTCTGCTCAAAAACTTCCAGCTCATCCAGATCTGTTGCTTCTATATGTTTAGCATTGATAATATCTTCCAAAATTGATTGACCCCTACCCACCAAAGCTTTCCAGCGCTGAATCAATGTATCAATTTCTTGCTCCGTTGTCATCGTGTGATGATAAGTCCTTTTTAGTAACTCCACAATATTTCCATCCCACGTCATCCATGTTCCATAATGTTTTTGACAAAGGTTGCTGTGAAGCGCTCTCAAAACCCCCAAATTCATCTCCCAAACATCCTTCGAGATGCGCTGACCAGGCTGAACTAATTCAATTAGCTGCTTTCCACCTTCTTCAGGATCATAATCTTCAAATTCAAGGTTATCATCAGACAATACACAAGCACATATCATCATGAAGCTGGACTTACCCCTACTACACAAAGCCAGTAAACCATCGAATTTTGATTCCATATTCAGTGCTTGATGAACCATCTGCTGAGCCTCCCTTCCAATGCGTCTCAGCTCTTCACGAAAACTCCGCTGTTGCAAAAACGCTTGTATGCCTTCAATAGTTTTTTCATCCACAGCCCATCTCTCCGTGGGATGTGTAAGCGCACCTACATTCCAGAAATTATCCTCAAAAGGGAGTCTCTTGGCTTCATCAAGGGACGGACAAGCCATCCGGCTGACAGGGCGAATATGGTTGTATAGTGAGACTTGATCTTGATATGAAGTCCATTTGCGTTTGAACATCAACTGTTTCTTTGTCATTAGAGTTTTCATACCCTGTTGAGCTTTCGTTCCTGCAGTGATCAAATATGAAAATTCAATCATCAATCCCACCCCCGAAAAAAAGCAACTAACTGAACCCAAAAAACCAAATAAAAATTACCTTCAGCGTACTTATCCCACTTCTTTTGAGCCTCTACAATACCCACTTTGGCTTCATATAGCTTCATCTTCGCAAGGCGCACACGTATTAGAGCCTCCGCTTTTTTACCTTTAAGATAAAAAAAGGATTTTTCAGCACAAGCCAAAATTGCATTAGGAAATAAATGGTACTCACCAGTTGATGCACGAAGCCGGCGGAATTCCGGACTTCCCAACTCTTCTGTCACATCAGCAATAGACTTCTCCAGTTCAACAATGGACGCTGGTAAGGTCAGTGATGATTCAACTTCATCATCCGTCCAATTTCTTCGGCGTTTCCTTCGCAGTCGTCGGAGTTCGTCACTATATTGTAGGAATAACATTATGATCAGACTACATTCTTTGAAGGACCACATTTAACAAAGTAATCAATAACTTACTGGGCATCTTTCACCTCCGCCTCGAGGTCCAGTAGCTCCACCAACCGATCCTCTAGTTCCTGCTGAGCATTACCATCCGCCATTGCAGCAAGTTGCAACTGTCTTTGCCGATCCCACATGTCCGAGAAATACACCCATGTATACGAGTCATCTTGAGTCTCTAGCTTTTCGAGAGTCTCAGATGCAACATCCAACCGCTGTTCAGCTGTCTTCAGCTTCACCTCAATTGACCGCACTAGAGATATGAATTGAAATTGAAATTGAGCTAAGGATGTTTATTAAAGATAAAGATTGTGTAAACATACCGGCATTCCTGCATCGCATATCATTGCAATGAATCGACTTCAAATCAATCATATCCACTCGATGTTGTTTTGTCGAGCATCGACAAGGAGCTATAAGGGGATCAAGGTCTGACCAATCCCGCTCTAAACCCTCGCCATCTGACAAACCCCAACCCTTGTTCAACCTGGGATTATATTTAAGTTGACAAGTCCACTCGTGAGCATAAGCGTGAAAGGCACTAGTTGCAAATCTGATATCTCCCCGTGCCACCTCTGCTTCAAAATATTTATGCTATCAAATGAAGCAATCTTCAGAGTGCGTTAAAAAAAACGCAGGAAACAAAGTCAAATACCT